GTATACAATATTATACTTCACAAGCCTTCGTCGTACAGCTTCCTCGAGAGCGCAACGTAGAATCTCTCCAGGTCCATCTTCGAGGCGAGTTCGTTCCTCGTGGCCTTCTTCGTCTTCTTGACTGCTTCCGCGGGAAGATCTACGCTAGCTTTTCCTGGAGATGGTACTTGGTCGACAATCCAGTCAAAGACGGCTGAGAGTTTGTCCGTAGATGCCTTCACTACAGGGTCATTGCGCTCTCGTTCTCGAAGTCGGTCTCTCTCTGCTCTTCGGTCCTTCGCGCTGGAGAGCGGGTCGGCAGGGGAGCTCGCAGCCGCCGCCAGGTCGATCCTTCCACTTTCCTTCCTCTCCTGCCTCTTCCAAGCGCCTACAAATCTCCCCCAGTCCCCAAAAGCCCAGCCGTCTGCACCTACGCGGCTTGCGATACTGCTCAATGGCACAGAGGGAAAATCTACATTGAATTCCATCCCTCGAGCGCCTCTGGTCTCCCAATGATCACAGCCTTCCAGGATGCCCAAGAACTCGCCCCAGCGTGCGCTGCGCACAGTCACGAGGCCGTCGTTCCCCCACTGGTCTTCTTGCTCCCACGGAGGTCTTTCTGCACCAACTTCACACCCCGTCTCCTGCATTTCGGATTTCAGTCTGGCTTTGGCTTTCTGTTCCCATTCGTCGAGGACCATCTTGGGAAGCCAGAGTGGATGCCAGATGCTCATGTCCCCCGTGCGCCCGGCGACACTAAAGTATTTGACGCGTGGGTCATCTGGGGTAGCAGGGTTGAAGACGTTGTTAAGGTAGGAGGAGGTCAAGTTTGCGTATGCGGGGGAGTCGAGCAGGGATATTATAAGTGTTGTAAAGGAAGATGGGAGAGAGCCTAGCGAGAGCGAGAGGGTTGCTTCGCGCTTCTCCTCTTTGGCCTTCGAGCTTGATGACGGGGGCTCTATATTGGAGTCATTGCCTTTCTCAAACTTCAAGGCTTCCCGTTCAAGGTCTTCACGACGCTGCCTACCCAGTCCAATATTTTCCTGCAATGAAATTTGAGTATGATGGGTTGTCAGAGGGCAACACCAGTAGCTTACAGCACACCAGTCCATGAACGGGCTCCCCCGATGAGGTGTAGCGATGGTAGTGAGAGACAATGGGGTATATTCAGTGGGCTTGACGTGAGAGATCATATGGCGGCAGTCGAGGCCACCCATGGAGTGAGCCATGAGATTGAGACCTCGACCTCTGGCTCTCTCTTGGAGCAGGCGATCGAGGTTCTCAGATCTCGACGCGATTGAACCAGTGCTAGAAGATTAGACATGCACTGAGAATGCGGGAGGACGAGCGAGAGAGACGTCAACGACGTACCCGGGAACTGTAGTTACAATGACGTCGGCGCCAACCTTTTTCTTGAGGATACTAAGAACATTGGACCAATAATGTAGTCGGAGACTTGGGAACGCAGAGGGGCCCCGTACATCAAACCCATACAAACCTGAAGAAACCACTGTAAATATCTTCGTTCTCCTGTTTGGGGGAGAACCAACCATGACAGAGGACTATGGGATAACGCGGGGCTCTGAGGGGGTCGAAAAGGACTGGATTCGCCATTAGACGGTGGATAGTATCGTGGGGTTCAGGACTAGACTCGTCCTCGCTCGAAGGAGAAGGGAACCTGGGCGGATTGGGCTGCGTCCCATTGGAGTTTGTTGGGTCGCAGCGTTGGTTCTCTGATGTGGGATCCAGGGCAGGAGACGTCGAAGATAGAAGCGTCGACCACGGCCAGCTACCGCTGAACGATAGCCAAGATATGCTAGACGCTAGTCGTGTCGCCATATCGGTATGCGGAGCAGCGATGGTTCGAATTTGTAGTGGCCTGCCTTGGACCGTTGATCCAAGTTGCTTTGGCACTGGAGTGGCTTCCTCTGCTGCGTCTCTCAACTTGCTATTCGCAAGCTCAGCAAGCCGAGACCATTCCCATTTCTCTTTGACTGGCCACCAGTCCCAATTGGATGGATCCTGGAACGTTTTGCATGAGATTTCGGATTCGCCTGACAGCTCTTTCCTCTCAGCTGAGCCATCGTCATTTCGGGATTTGGAAAGGACATATTGGCTAGGCAGGGACAAGGTAGATATAACATTGGCGAGCCTGCGGAGAAACGCAGCAACCTGGACTGGAAAGTATACGCTGTTCATAGTTTCTTCCTGCAGCGCTGATGGGGGATCGGGAGAAACATGCTAATATAGAAATAATTAGGAACGGCTATCTTCCTTCTGTGGTATGCTTGGGGAGACTAAGAAATAATACACGACATCAAAACATCTTGACAAGTCCTCAGACTACTTATCCCCAACCAATAAGTAGGTTGAGTCGCGCTTGCACTATGACTCTTTCTCCAGCATTTCCTTCGCTGTACACTCCGATCATAAGCTCAGTTTCAACCACGAATGGCCGTTTTTAAAACGGTATATAGAAGAAGGCTGCGAACATGTGCACCTCCTCTTAACTGACATCACTTGGATGCTTCGGGAGTTTGCGTCTTCCCTGTCAGCGCCAGTGAAGCGGTATGTAGGGACATTGGAAGTCGGAAGATTCCCATGTTCTACCCAGGATTCACGAGCTCGGACATGGAGCAGGTAGTAATTCGGCTTGTTATCATGAACTAAACCTCAGCTTTTCAAGAAGATACGCCCTGCAGAAATCAAGGCTGGGTTCACCGATAACCTCAGGGGGTTCGAGTGATTATTTACCCTTTAGCACCAGCAGATGCCCTATATGATCCCCCTGAGTCCCAAGATAACAAGGATTCTTCTACGTGCGGCGAAGAGCCGCTCAGCGAACTTGGAGCGATAGATAGCCTTGGAGTGAGACCTTCCAATACGATCTGCGTTGTCGCTGACGAAGAATGATTTTTCTAGTAGAAAAACGGCGGTGGTCGAGAGATTGGATGGAATGCTTCTTCAAATCCTCCCTGCCTGCTTCGAATTTAAGATATCCCTCGCGATGCAATCGACATTTCACTGGATGGAGTTCTCTCCTGCTCGTGGACTACGAACCTCCACTGGAGTCAACGCAGTAGTTAAATACTGGGCCCCGAGTGCTTGCCAGTGGTCCAGTCTCTGCACAGTTTTCGATTCAGTCATGAAGCTATTAAAATTTATCTCCTCCTTCATCCTGTTCTCGGCGTCCTCACATGTGCTGGGAGCACAATATCTCCAAAGTGCCGACATCGTTGGTACGGGATTTTACGACGCTTTCCACTTCGAGGATAAGCCTGACCCTACTCATGGACGCGTGTAACTTTCCCTGATGCAGGCTTAGCCAGCTCCATACTGATACTATGTATCCCCCAGGACCTACGTGAATGAGTCGACCGCTCAGGCGCTCAACCTAACCTACGCTTCAAGCGATACCTTCATTTTGCGCACTGATTATACCACCTATCTCCAGCCCTCGGACCCTGGAAGAAACTCCGTGAGGATCGTTTCCAATCTGCAATACACGACTTTTGCTGCGATGTAAGTAGAATCACGTTTTCTGTTCCCTACCGTCAGCCAATCTGCAGTAGATTTGATATGCGGCACATGCCCGAGGGGTGTGGGTGAGCCAATCTTTCCTCTGAACGTAGATTGCGGAACTCACCATTGTACGTCTGCGATGCTGCTAGCACTTGGCCTGCTGTCTGGACGGTAAGCTCATCACGTTGGGTGTCATCGGCGTTTATTATGACACCGGTTTCCTATGTAGGTTGGCGCTGACTGGCCCAATCAGGTACGTGTTTCGTCTCATACTGCCAAGGTAATAAGGCTCATTGCTATCTTATACCAAGGGCGAAGTTGATATTGTTGAGGGAGTGAACAGTATGATGCCCAACGTTGCGTCTGTCCACACAGGGTCGAGTGGGTAACTCCCGTAGCTTTTGCGTGCGCGGCTGATGCTGTGATCCCTAGATTGCAAAATGCCCTCCTCAGGACGCAATATGTCGGGGTAAGCTGCGTCCGAAACGATGTGGCGTTTGTCTCACCTCACGCAGTGTATCCACGGGTGTCAACTGCGCAACCTATGAGACTAACGGTGCGGGGTGTGGTATTGAGTTCACGGACACCCCGAATGATCCAAGAAGCTTTGGGCCAGGGTTCAACTCACACTCCGGCGGATGGTAAGTTTGGTCTAGATAACCCCGTCCCGCGTTGTGACAGCGGGGAACCGCCCAGGTACGCTTTCGAGCGCACGAACTCGGATTTCAAGATCTGGTTCTGGTCTCGAAGTGACAGGGCTGTACCTGATGAGGTTCAATACGGACCTCGTGCCATCGACACCACAACTTGGGTAGGTAGACTGCGTTTCTGCGATAATTTTGTACCTTGAGCGACCCTAATTTCAAGGGGGAACCGATCGGACACTGGACCGACGACCTCTGCGATTTCGCCAGCCATTTCGGCCCACACAACATAGTCATCAACTTAGCCTTGTGTGAGTAGTATATCTTCGTACGAGCAACGAAACCCAAATGCTCACACTTGTTCATGCAGGTGGGGACTGGGCTGGTAACTACTATGTTTATAAGTCCTCGGGATGCCCCGATACATGTGAAGGTAAGCGTTCTTCACCATCCAGTGTGCACACATGTGGCTCTTCTCATCGCGATCACTGCAGAATTTGTGAATACCAACCCAGCTGCACTTTACGCCGCATACTTCGACTTTGTGTCGATTAAGATCTACACGTGAAGGTGATAGGTGCCCTCCGTCGTGACCTACTTGGCTGCCTAGATATGCTGTTCGAGTGTTTCTTGCTTTTATGTGAGCATCAAAAGGAAGTATTGTGTACGGAAGCTGGGATTAGATACTTGGGTGCACTTTTTGAGGACGACAAATCATAAGCTAACGGATTAGGCAGAGGCCCTACCAGAAGAATAAATCCCAAGAAGCTGAAGGTTGACGTTGAGTGTTTGACGTTTGACCCTCGTCCTTGTTACTATTAGATACATACTCTCTGGATGTAGGCTCAAAAAAAACTCTCTGCCTGGGAGTCGAACCCAGCTCTGCCGCGCACCGGAAATCCATGACAGGCGGCTGTACTATCCGATATACTAGCAAAGACCTGTGAGGTGAGGGCAACAACTAATATACAAACATGAACAAGCCACCCACCCTGGATCCGAAATTCCTCCGCATTTACCCTGTGACGACGCTGGGTGCGACCGAGCACGCTTTAAACTCGCACTCCAAGCTCGCCAGCCGCAGCGATCATCTCTTGGCCGTTGCAGCAAACTGATTTCCATGCCGCGAGACTGTCATTAATTGGTGATACAGCTGTAGGATCCTACTGGGCCAGATTGCATAGTGATCTTGCCAACCTTGCGTCCGAAGACCCCCGATGGTGCATACTGCACGCCCAACTGAAGTGGTCGACCTGAACACACGATCAAAGAGGATGAACGTCATGCATGATGTCGGGCGTTTTACTCACATCCACTTGTGACAGTCCGTGAACATTAACTGTCTTGTTGTTTCTCAGCTGATGCACGACTGATAGGCTCGCTTCCTATAGAAGATGTTGTAAGTGGCGTGTGGCGTGCAGAGCCATGCGACCACGAAGACGTTGCAGCTGTATCTGACAAGCAGAGAAAACCTAACCAACAGCTTTTTATCTGTAGTATGAACGATAGTTCGTATCACCAGTTGCAGTTCTCTGCCTACAAGCCTGAGGCATGATTATAGAGAAGCGGTAAATTGTGAGCAGCGCTCTCGTTGAGCGTTTCAAGTTGTGGCGACTCATCAAGGCACGAGGTTACCGCTTACAAATATATTCTCACAGGAAGTCAATATCAACAGGGGACGGCATGGAACACGGTCGACTTTGGTGAGGTCCGTTTCGGTGCTCTCCCTTCTTCCAGTGCCCGCAAATTTCACAACCTCTGCGAGATGACCATGTTCACGACATTATTCTTGACCATCTCTGCCTTAGTTTCTGTGATTTCTGCGGTGCCGTTGGGTTTGCGAGACGTTCCAGATCCACCAATCACCAGCCCGACCGCAAGCACCATCTGGCATGTCGGCGACAAGCAAACAGTGACGTGGTACGTTGTTATAACTATTATGCAGTTAGCCAATGTCCGTTGTTGACCTTTACGCTTTGCAGGAGTACGGCAAATTTGCCTGCTAACCTTACCACACCTACCGGCACGCTTCTACTGGGGTTCATCGCAAACAATAGCGAGAATCTGATGACCAGTAAGTTCCGATGTTACATCACTTGGTGGACAAATGTACTAGTTTGCATTGCGGCTCGTTGCGTTGGCGCGATGCCACGCTAGCGTGTCCTGTCAATAATAGCTGTGATGGAGTGATCTCATTGCTTAAATAGACTCGCCTCTCGCAACTGGCTTCTTGTACACGGACGGACAAGCTCAGATTACCGTACCATCCGTACCTACCCGCGAGAACTACATCGTCGTCCGTAAGTGATCACCGAGTTTATCTATGATTTTACTGCGGTATTTACATAGCGTGTTTTCCAGTTCTTGGCGACTCAGGAAATGCTAGTCCCCAGTTCACGATAATCGGCGACTCGTCGTCTTCATCGGCACCATCCACATCTGCTACGACATCTGTATCTTCGTCATCCTTATCGCCGTCGAGCTCTAGCTCTCCAAGCACATCTGCGCCCCCAGCCTCTGGGTCGTCAACGCCTGTTATTAATCCTGAGACGTCATCTTCTTCAACGAGCAGTGCACCAATTACCACCTCAACATCTCCCACGACGACGCTGGTCACTACATCTGGCAGTGTGGTTGTTGTAACCACAAGCGTCCTCCCGTCGCAGCCGCCGACTGGCGCAGCCTGGAAGAATCGTGTCCCTAGGGTGTACCTCCTCGCAGGGCTCATGTCGCTTGTCTTTGCTCTTTAAGAGGTCTTTCGCCTCAATCATTTCCACGGACATCTCACGCAATGATTTTGGAAACGACACATCATATCTAATCTGATGTTCATGGACTATTGGCTCCGATTTGTTCTTACGCTGTACGACATTTATGATCTTGGATTTAGGATGCGATCCGGTATGGGTCTTGGAGGTGGGGTCCTCTAGTTTCGATGCGATTGCTATTGCTTACTCTTCTTTGGAGGAATACCATGTATACTATATTCGTTTGCTTGATTCCATGTGAATGCAGTTTTTCGGCTCGACTCTCGTGTCACGCGATAAAGGGGCATATGTATGGGATATATGCGGATCTTTCCCCAACGATACTTGTCTGACTGTTATACAAAACCGATACTCGCGCGGCAGCCCTCGATCTTTGTAGAAGGCACGCGTCTGTAATGACGAGGGATCTGCCCATAGCGGCACCATTATCGACCACCAGCCAGAAACCATGACCATGCGGGAGTTTGGGCTCACTAGACGCTTGGAGTTTCCAGCATACCTCTTTTATCTGCTCGTCTTGCGCGGGCGCGTCCCAACACCGAGGTGGTGATTCCTCTGGCCTCCGTACAGGAGTGCATGTATATTCCTCTTTGGATTCGGGCGCACAATACTCTGGTAATGTGGTATATTCTGGACTTGGTACGAGCCTGTGCGCGTATAACGAGGTACGAGTGCTTGAGTCTGTCTAACAGAGACCACGTCTGGCCCGGATTTCGGCCAGCTTATCACCAGCCCGCCGCTAGCATCCGACGCCGCATGACTCCATCGTGGACCCAGCCAATATTAGAGCGTACTCACACTCAACTCTATTACTAGCCGTCACCCTCCCCCGCAGCGATACGTCATCCTGCCACCACCAGTAATCCTGCACCTCAATCGCCTACCGACCCCGAGTGCTGCTCAGGGTTGACATCCGGCGACGCCGGCCGGATCCTAGTCAACCATTCGAAAGGAGGCGGCTGTGACCTCTCGACAATCGTGGGTAGTACTCCCCACTCTCGACCGCAAGGCTCGCGGTAATAAAGGCCACATGAAGGCGGGCAGGGGCTCGACCTTGTTTCCGCCAGTGTGTCCCAGACTAAGTAAGTAAGCAAAGGCGTGCACGTAAATCAACATCACTGTACCTCCTGCTAACTATATCTTCATTTGGCACACAGGATGATTTCGCCCCGCCCCATTGGTGCCTTACAGTTAGAAACGAATGCGATGGGGACTGTAGTCTTCCGATCATTGGAAATTTCATTTGGGAGAGGTTGGCAACCGAATCGCAAGATGCTCGGCCTGAGTATTACTATACTTGCTATCTGCCCTAATTGAGGGACACATGTCGTATGGTCCATGCTTCGTGAAAAGGGCAAGACTTGTGCACAGCGCAAGGCTTTCGAGTCGACCCGTCTCTCCATGTCGCTTCCAATGGCCCCTAAGTACACGCACCTTAGCAATACTATTCCAGTTGATTGCGCATCATTTACTTCTTGAGTTCTGATGTATGAGGGGAGGCCAGGAGATGCATTACTCTGCCTATAGGAGGCAGGATTCGCGGAAGCTCTATATGTCTGGCCGCATGAGCACAGATGCATCCGGCCGATCACATGGTCGATGCATGGATGAGATGCATATACGTATGCGTTGTTGGCATCGAGGGATAATTACCGTCAACTCCATCGGTCTGTTCGTCAGTTGATCAGCAAATCAGTAACTGGCGCAGAAAGTAGACAGGCTTGCCTACCCGTCATAACGAGGCATCTCCGCTCTGTCTTGGCCCAAAGCCGCGTTGACGTGTGACCACTCTGCACTTGAGGCGAACTAGGTGAAAAGGGGGACAGGCCATAGCATCAAGAGCTGTGTAGGGCTGGGCGGTGTACTTGCGACGATTCTTGGCGATGAAGCTGGGATAAGGTAACGTTGGCAATCGACTTGCCCATCACTCGAGGGGACATCGCCCATAGGCCAATTTTCACACCTGCGGCAAAGACGTTTTCGACTCCTCGGCGACCGATCCAGCCGAACGACTTTGGACACCGCCCACCAAACGAAGCGTACCCATCAGGCAATTCCGCCCCGTCCCTGCACCGACCCGTTGCACACGGAAGTGCTTATAATGAGTAATTGTGAAGATGACCTCACGTGTGCACCATCTCTGAACAACTTCCATCAGAATAAGCAATGGTAAGCACTGCGGCCAGTACAATAGAATCGTGGTTTATGAGGAGTTAACTTGGCTTCCAGTCAGCGTTACGAACTGGAGCTTGCGAACGCGTCTCGTAACGCTCACGTGCAGTGACAGACGCCGTAATTACACCACAGTTATACATCATCGATTTCCAATAAATATTGCAAGTTGAGTGCAGGTAAAGAACATCTGTGGTAGAAACACAGAAAGCGTAAAAATCATCGCGTGGGGGCAGAATACATAAAAGTTAACATTTCATGAAATAGCTTCCAGAGCCGCAACATGGAAGGAAGAACGCTAGGAAGCGATCAGGCGTAACGGATATCGTTAATGATACAACAAAAATGAAGTGCTTCTTCTAGTCTTTCCCTTGTGGATAGCGTCGTCTATAAATTCTATCGTGAATAAGTGGTCATAATATAACCGTGATGGCCCAAAAAAGAAAAAGGAAGGCGGGCAGAACGGGAAGTGACCGAGTCGGACCACTTATGGCGACCAGTCTTTGCTCATGAAATTCCATGAGATCTCGAGTACACCAGTGTCCAAGTCGCCAATTTGCTCGAAAAGTCCTGGCGACATATCTACGATGTAGCTGTTAAAATGGACCTTGTGTTGATGAATAGGGGATAATGCTTACCGAGACTACCTGAGCTACATGATGGGCACTCATCACGCGTCATCCCGTACGCGCTTTTGCCATTGGCGGTATTGGTGACATGCACCCACTAGCAAAAAGGGATCAGTGGCAGACTAAAAGCGCCTGGTGACGTGGCATACCTGGCCACAGTTTCCTCCACTACCGTAGATAGCAGATGAGATGGCGACAATAGGGTCGCTGTTGACATTGGTCTCGCCGCACGCGCCTAGGCCGACGTTAAACCAAGTACCCTGCACAACAAAGGGGGTCAACGATGTTTGGCGACCTCTCGAAGACGCAGACCTACCCTTCCCGTGTGCGTCACGCGTTTGGCGAGAACGGAGGGAGGTGTAACATCGAGT